ATTTTCTCCTCCTTGCTCAGGTTTGCCTGGCTTTCCTAACTCTCACTACAGTCCTTGAATGACCCTGGCTCGCAAGGGGCCTGCAAGCCTATGCCATCTCATCTGGGGAGCAGCAGAGCTAAGGTACACTCCTAGAATTGTACAATAAAACAAGGAGACAACGGAGAGGTGAGATGCACAGGTGGAAAATGCTTTATACTTGCCCTGAGCTGAGGATATCCTACGTATGGAGGAAACAATCTTCGAGTAGGAATAAAGAATCCCAGCCAGGGGAGCGCCACCAAGCAGCACAATTCCGAAATACATAACCATATCATTAACGAAGGTGTCGGAACAGGCCTGCCCAACTACTTGATTGAATTCACAGAAAAAATGGGGGATATCCACCTTTGCACGGAAGGAAAGCCGCAACACCATTAAACTCTGTAACAAGGAATTGAGAACACTGATGACCCAGGACACCAGAACCAGCAGTCCACAGAGCCGAGGGTTCATGATGACCGTGTAGTGCAAGGGGTGACAGATGGCCACGAAGCGGTCATAGGCCATCACAGTCAGGAGAAAGTCATCCCAGCCTCCAAAGATTAAGAAAAAGTACATCTGTGTGAGGCAGCCAGCATAGGTGATGACTTGGCTCTGAGTCTGGATGTTCCACAGCATCTTGGGGATGGTGGTGGAGGTGAAGCAGATATCTGCAAAGGACAGGGTGGCGAGGAAGAAGTACATGGGGGTGTGGAGATGGGTGTCTGAGCTGACGGCCAGGATGATGAGCAGGTTCCCCAGCACAGTTATTAGGTACATGCAGAGGAAAAACCTAAATATGATGGGCTGTAATTCTGGTTCCTCTGATAATCCCAGAAGAAGAAACTCTGAAATTCCTGTGTCATTGTCTGCTTCCATGTGGTGGTGTTGCCTACAAGGAAAGAAAAAAAAAAACCATAAAAGTGTTGAATTTTATGGGCTTCATTTATTTATTTAATATTTTTTTTCTTTTTTTAAAGTTTTTCTTTAAATGTCAGTTATTGGGGCGCCTGGGTGGTTCAGTCCTCAAGCCTCTGCCTTTGACTCAGGTCAGGAGCCCAGGGTCCTTGTTTCGAGCCCCGCATTGGGCTCCCTGCTTGGTGGGAAGCCTGCTTCTCCCTCTCCCATTCCCCCTGCTTGTGTTCCCTCTCTCGCTGTGTCTATCTCTGTCAGATAAATAAATACAATCTTTAAAAAAACAAAAAGGAGGTTCATAAAACGCAGGAAAGAAATGGACATGAGTGGTAAAGGAGATCTAATAAACTCAGGGGATTCCTGAGAGACTGTGATGAGCAGAAAGCTTCCCCGGTTCTGGCAGCCTTCCAGCCCCTGCCACATGCCCTTGCTGCCCAGAATAATTAACAAAGCAGAAAAAGAACAGTGTAACCAAACAAGAAAAGAGTGGGCTTTTTATGATGTCAGACATTTTACTGATTGAATATCCCTGTAGAAAAATGTGCAAAGGGAATAAACCTGCAATTTAGAACAGAAAATACACACTGTAGTACACAATGTAGGACAATAGAATGGGATTTTTAAAGATGAAATAAAAAAAGACTTTTCCAAATGATTTTAAGTGCCAAATTTTTGAATCAGAAAACCAGGTTTTGAACATCAGATCTACCACATATACAATGTTGGAACTTGGGAGAGACAATCAATCCATTCCAAATGGGAATATCCTCACTCAGAGAGTGGGGACAGCAGTACCCATCCTCCTAGGGTGGATACAGCATTGGTCACTACATGTAGGAAGCTTATAGCACTGTTCCTTCCTGTGAGTAAATGAGTTATTTTCACCATTGAACAGATTTGGGAACGTTTTCTCTGCGTTTCACAAATGCCTCCATCGTTTACACACATTTTGGTCATGAAGTATTACAAAGTAAAGCTAGTTAGCATACCCCTTGTTGCATATGAAACACACTTTTCCATGTGAATACTCAGTGTGAGAGAAGCTTCTGAGAAATGTGTATCTCAGGAACTGCTGTCGCAAGGGAATAGTTACCTGCATGGGTCTGGGTCTTTCAATAAATACAGAACATG